GTGGATGGATGTCCCACCAACGACAATGGTTGGGGTCGCGCTAAAATCACGAATTGGTAGAAGTTAGAATTCATGCACTAGCCATTGAATCGGGTCCCAGTGGCTGAATGGTATACGAGCTTGCCTTGTAACCGGAAGGTCCTGGCTTCGAATCTCAGTGGGTGCGTACTGCCGATGATTCCCAAACTAGGATGAAACAGCAGCTGTCCAGTACTCCAGTGCTGGTTTTCAATGGTTCTCTAACTGATATCAGTCTGTGATCAACTCGTAAAACATAACTAATCCTTACAAACCAAACTATAGAAAAAGTCTTAGTATTAATCAAACCAAAACACGTAGTTCAGCGAAGAGTCTCTTTTCGGCGGCAAATTCATTCACTTCGTTTTACAATCGCAATCGCATATGTTTTTATTCCTTAACGTTCCAAGTGGAATATATGGCTTCAAGCCAGAGGCTTGAAGTTTCCGTATCAGTGGTATTTTATTTTTACGGGATTAGGTTGCAAGCATCATGCCCAACCTTCCGTCTTTACCAGTCTTATTACAGGCTTAGTGAGGTGAAGGAGTGGGTCGGCCGGGCACCGAATCCCAAACCACATGAAGCGTGGTCGGCGAGCATTCTACCCCTGTTCCACCGACGACCAATTACATATACATATGTGTGCGTGTGTGTGTACATTAGCTTTGTCCTATAAGAATAAAATTAAATTTGGGTTATTGTTTTCAAGACATTTCCAAAATGCGATGAGTAATCAAATTGTAAATAGGGGGGGGGGGGGTGAAGATTGGCAAGAGAGTAGTGGTGATGCTTTGTCAAAATAAAACATAGTTAAAAATGTCATTCAGCACATAAACGAAGTTGAATAAGCATAATACATTTACTTAATACAATGAATAGTTTAATGAGTGAGTCATGATTAGGATGAACATAGAAACAAACGAAAATATGGAAATATAAGGTAAATATTCTGGCTGATTTCTTTCTAAGTAAGCTACAAAATGGACCTCTGAACAACCTTATCAGTAAGCTCTCATTTTATTGCCGATATACGGATGACACCTTCATTATTCTTTGTGATAATGGTTCTGATAGGAGTACAATAATTAGTGAATTCAATGAAGTACATTCTGCTTTGAAATTTTCGTGCGAAGAGGAATCCCAAGACAGAATTACCTTCCTGGATGTCCTCCTTGCAAGAAAACCAGACGGTAGCATAAGAAGAAATTTGCATAGAAAAACTACATGGACAGGACAATATACACACATTTTCACAGCTTCATTCCTATCAAGCACAAAAGAAATTTAGTAAAGACCCTTAGTCACAGAGTTAGAGCTGTATGCTCAGAAGAAGTAATTGAAGATGAATTAGGCATTGTATATGATACTTTAATCGAAAATGGTTATCCTGACAAATTTATCAAGAAACATATGACAAAGAAAGCCGAAAAGGACTACCCACTGTCTGTAAACAAGAAACCACTTTATATACGACTGAAATTCAAGGGCGATATACCAAGTGAGACAATTACGAGGAAATTAAGAAAATCAGTACGAAGAACTTTTAATGCTGGTGAACTACACGTATTATTCTCTACACGACCGATGGTGCTACCTCAACTGAAAGATGAAGTACCCAGACTAGCTGGCCACTTCAAATTGTATCTATCAATTTAAATGCGCTTGTTGAGCGAGTTATATTGGCCGTTGCTCTAGGAACTTGATTTTTCGTGCTCGAGAACATATCCCACTATGGCTAAGTAAAGGTATAGTTAAAACCATTAACAGTTCTGATATTGGACCATCTGGTACAAACCGGCCACAAAGCCAGCCAGCGTGGAAGAATCCTTCTCTATCATCATCTACTGGGTGCCTAATAAATTGCCAAAATCATGGAAGCACCGCATGCTCTAGATAGCAGAGGCTATTGCAATTCGCCTCAAACAACCAGTGCTCTATGTTCAAAACAAGCCAGTCCAGCCCCTACTACTGCCTTGGCCTTCAGTAGAGACTAGAAATCTATGAATTTGTAATATTACCTTTCCAAATTTTCTGACATTCAATCAGTTTATTGTTATGTTGATGCTATTGAGCTGTAATCTATCAATATTATTGATTTGATGTTATTTAAACAACACTAATGTTCTTCATAACACTAATTCATTCATTCATTCACTGAAATGGATTGATGTATAACTGTAGAGCCTGATGATGATGAAGGGGTTATCGAAAAGAGTACTCTTTGTTCAGTATCCATTCTTTTGAAAATTATGTAAGAGCTCTAAAAATTACAAATGTTAGAAGTCGTTAGAAAAAACAAGCACAGAAACATCAAGAAGTCAACACGGTTGTTACTATGATAGCAGAAGTGGTTGGATGATTTTATTTTGTATATATAACTCCGGTTTCTCTAACTGAATGACTGAGGCTTCAGCAATGCACAAAAGAGACGAAAGCGTATTGCCTTTGGCAGGCAGATCATTCTTCTCCACTTTGTGGATCACTTTAAAGGAAGAGGAGTTTGTTGTGAGATAGAATGACTAGCGTTGACGACATTTTCGATGATCGCACTTCTTATACAGCAGCCACTACTACGTTTTTGTAGCCATACTGTGAGATATTGTTCTTGAACCTTTCTGTAAAGAATATGTGTTAAACAACCAATGTACTTGGCTCTACAGCAACAGATGAAGAGATATGTGCACATAGAAGTGGCCAGATGCAAGATCTTGTCCTTGAGGCTTCTGCAGATCAATAGACGATTGGAGAACACTATTCTTAACGTTGCTGTAAAGAATGTTCTTTCCAAAGAAGTTTAAATTCTTCTCTTGAGGATATTATAAGCTAAGTCTCCCTTGAAATCCGGATTCATGTAAAACATCTTTTCTGAGACAAGTGATGATCCTTTCCTCTGGACGTCTGATTTGATATTCTTGGTGGTTATCCATTTGAGATGAGGGTTTCTTTCAGAAGATCCAGTTCTGCTTCCAGGGCTTCAGGACTACACATGTCTCAGATCTGAGTGACAAGGGATTAAATCAGATTTTGTTTCCTCTCAATAATTACCCAACTGTAGAAAAATTGTTAGTTGACTGTTCCAAGTGGGTGTTATTATTCTAGGCAACACAGCTACCTCATTCAATATTGTTCAGACACCAAAGGATCCATCCATCAGCAAAAGAAGACAATAAATCCATTTCGTAATAAAGTTTTCTCTGAAGTGATTTTGTCTAGAAGATGAACAACGAAAACTTCGTAATGAAAAGTCAACAAGCCAGCTCAGGGAATACAACTCCGTGGAAATAATCCACCTATTGTGGTGAGAGCTGTCTACTAGCCAAATTGGTAGACAGCAATTTACGTCAATATTTACGTTCTCAAGATTTGTCGTGAGAAAATATGAGCAAAGACTGATTCAAAACCGACCACAGCAGACTTTGCGTAGGCGGATACAGTTAACATATAGATGATCTGACATTCAAGAAACAGTCACAAATAGATGAAAGATTAACTTTACGTGAGAAACAACCAATCGGAAAACTGTGTTTGCTTACTTAAATATCCATAGTAATGTACATGAAAATATATAAATATGCTTTGATTTCCTTAATAAACGATCTGTTGCCTGGCCCTTGTCTCCGAGCACTCAGTCTCAGCGCGGCCACTTCACGTTGGAACTCTTCGATTTGTTTCACACTGCTCGGATTTTGGTGGCTCTACCTCTGCAACCGTCTTACTGAACAGTTGCCTGGTCACCTTCGCAAGCTCCCCGATGTCCAGTGGCTGTACGGCGTTAACGAGATGTAGCTGTTGGGATATATGTTCTGGAACACTCTCCATAAACTGGGACGCTAACATTTGTGCCTCAGAATCTTCGTCCAGTGTTGGTAGAGCGCGACGAAGTAGGCTTGTCAAGATCAGCGCTAATACAAGAGGATCACCGTCAACTCCCAGCTTCATGGTGCGAAACTGCTGCATTTCCCGCTCTCTGTCCATCGGGCTGTCAAACTCTTGCTTCAAGCCTTCAGCCACTGACTTCCAAGTTGCTTGCCCCTCTGTTTGCCTCACACTATCATATGCTGCCTTCGCCCGGCCTCTCAGTAGCGTTCCAAGAACAACCGTCTTCGCTGATGACTCTTGCACGCCATTCAACTTTGCAATAGCTTCGAAGTCCCTTAAGAAGATCCATATGTCTCCTTCTTCAAAAGCTGTAGTCCATGGGAATTTCATTTCGCGACAGGCAGCGACACCAAATGTAACAACAGAAGGTAAGAGTCAGGCAACAGATCGTTTATTAAGGAAATCAAAGCATATTTATATATTTTCATGTACATTACTATGGATATTTAAGTAAACAAACACAGTCTTCCGATTGGTTGTTTCTCACGTAAAGTTAATCTTTCATCTATTTGTGACTGTTTCTTGAATGTCAGATCATCTATATGTTAACTGTATCCGCCTACGCAAAGTCTGCTGTGGTCGGTTTTGAATCAATCTTTGTTCACATTTTCTCACGACAAATCTTGGGAACGGAAATATTGACGTAAATTACTGTCTACCAATTTGGCTAGTAGACAGCTCTCACCACACTATCATTTCAAAACAATGAGTTTTCGATGTGTGGATCCAAGGGTAAAATGCAGAAGGATCGTATGGTCCGCGGGTAGGAGATGACAGCCTATGCTCCATCGTGGGGTCAGCTAAAAAGCGACTGCAAATAACAACAGGACAAAGTAGAGATATGGTGCTGTTGAAAGCCTATGTGTTGTTCCACCCTGTCACTCATTAGAGGAGATTAATACTGACAGCAAAACGCAAATCACTCTCAACCCCTCCCATTATTTTTCATCTAACATAAAAATATAAAATCGTTTAATTTATCAATGTATTAGGCGGAGAGAAAAACGCAAACAATTTTTTCCAATTAACGAAAAATTGAAATGGACAACCAAACGAAAAACACAACACAAAAATAATTTTAAAAAAATAAATTTTTTACTGACCATTTGTCGATTAGCGCTGTTATCCGCTGTCGTAGGCTGACTGGATCGATTAGCGCACGTCCGCATAGAGGGTTGTGCCAACGGCGGTAATGAGATGACTGCCAAGGTCTGTTGTGATGATGTAGATGATGAAGGAGCTGGAGGCGGAGGCGGCGGTGGCGGAGCAGGTCGACTACCTCTATTCACTGATGATGGTGATGTGCACAGGACAGATGTCTGTCTGTTATTCACTGTGGACAGTGCTGTTGTTGTTGTTGTTGATATACAACAGCAACAAGTGGGTGGTCTGAATGCAGCTGGTGTTTGTGATGTCAACAATTCGTATTCTAAGCCACCTGTACGAAGATGATGAAAAAAACAATATTTCACTCGATTTAATTATCTAATCTATCATAAATGTATGAGGTAAAATTATTTAAACAGTACAACGAAAATCTGTAGTTGTTTCGTCCTAGTTTGTGACTCTTCAACATATCTGTTCAATACTACCCTGTGTTCTTTTACCAATGATTTTCTAATTGATATCAATCTGTGTGTGGTCAGACTTGAAAATAAAAAAATAAATCTCTGTATAGTTACTCTAAGAAAATCCATGTCGATTTGTATAGTTGGATGTATCATACATAATGACTGACACAGTGTAAGACTTACTGGATGACGAAGTTTTGAACACAATATGTGACTTGAGGATGAGTATTTCATCCTATTTTGGACTCGTCTGCTGTATGCACTTGTGAGAGATGGTGTCCCCACTGAGGCAGTCACATCCACTGGCTGACGAGTCTCAAACAGGATGAAATGCTCATCTTGGTGGATTCCACTGCAGCTAGTCACCATCCACCCACTAAATTACTTTCAGTTAATCCCCAGACATCACTGAAACATCCGCACATGGAATCGATATGTTAATACAGTGGCGGAACACTAAGCTCTAATCCATCAACGAGGACGTCCGAATTGAATTAAATCATTTATTACTGTTCATAATCATATCATCGGTTATAACCAAGCAGCTTCCAAAATTGTTTGTTCTAGTTCCAATCTTTCCTTCCGATTTGTTATATATATATATGTACATATATACTCAGTTCAATCAATATATAATGCTTCCTTTATCAATTTCTCCCTCATTGATAGTCCTACCGCAGCGACTATCATTTTACAATGCTGACCACTGACCATTCACCCGCTTGCATGCAATCCTATGACTCGTAAATTCTAACTTCTGTCAAGTAACGATTTTTAGCGAAAACTTCCAGTTGATGTTATCAATTAATAGTGTTCTCTGAGCTGGTTGGCTTAGTTGTGGAGCTTTCGTCGTCCCCCTTCTGGACAACATCCCCTTTCAGCGCAATTTTTAGCATAAAGTGAACTGATTTAAATTTCTTCACGAGTGATATAATTGCGTCTCCTGGTAACCATCTTTACATATGTATTGACCATTTCCTATTGATTTGGATTTTAAACTTTCTGGTCACCTGATTTACTTTTTATTAGTTGGTATATTTCGTCTATACTAACGTGTTTGTTAATTGCATTTTCGTTTGAGTACCAGGCCTCTAGGAATTCCCTGACTGCACTTTTGGTGTTTCCTCTGTCTAAGATTTTGACATTATCCCAGTTAAATTGGTGACCATAATTGTCTATATGCATTGATACTAAAGAATACATATCGTCTCTTTTCACGGCTGATTTGTGTTCTTGGATTCTAATTCGAAGGGGACGCCTACTTTGGCCGATGTAATGCATGTTACAGTTCATACAATTTATTTTGTAAATGGTATTAATTTTATCTCCTTTTTCTGTTGGATCTTTCGGTTTGCATAATATCGAATTAAGTGACTTGACTGGTTTGTGTGCTGTATTTATTCTTTTTTATTCTAGCTGTTATTTCAGAGATATTTTTTATGTATGGTAGGCTGAATTTTCTTGTGGTCTTTGATGATGGTTTCCTGTTGGTGTTTTGATTCGACTTCAAACACTTTTTGATGAAATTTTGTGGATAACCATTCTTTTTGAATACCGTTTGCAGGTATTTCACTTCCATGCTTTTCAACTCTGGAGTGCTACAATGTGTTTGAACTCCTTTAAACAATGTCTGCACACAGTTTGGTTTGTGAGTAATTGGATTATTGCTATAGTATAGTTGAGTATTTGATCTGTGTGCGTTGATTTTGTCGCTGAGTATTTGTTTTGATACCCTACTACTGGTGAATCCCGGTTGCCACTATTTCCCAATAGAAATTCTGGCAACTTCGTAGTGGATTCAGTCACTAGCGAGCTCTGGATTAACTTTTAAAGTCCTAGTTTGAGAGCTCAGGAGTTGATCAATTTGAAATTTCATAACTAACTGAGTGACATCAGTTAGAGAAGCATTGAAGACCAAACAACCAGAGTGCAGCACTTCAAACAGCTGTTTCGGCCTTCATTTCGTACTCTCAGGCAGTAAACAGAGCGATGTAGCGATATCTTTAGGTTATACAGGGAAGCTCAATGATCACCCAGTTACTGCGGTGGAATACAATCGCCCACAAATTCGAACTTCTTTCAATTTGCAATGCAACTGCTAACCGTACTGCTGTATATCTCTTCATAATGGGATAAATGTTTTGACGATCCCTCCTGAAACTACCTAATAACACTCTTTACACTTATTTAGATATTTCAACTAACTTTGTAATTCAAGTGTTGGTTTGTAGGGATTTGATTGGTTACAGGATTTTCATCATGTGCTGAGGTTAGTTAGAGGACAATTGGAAATCCTGGGAGTACTGGACAGCTGTTTCATCCTAGTTTAGGACTCTTCAGCAGTACGCACCCACCACAAGAGTTCGAACCCAGGACCTTCTGGTTACAAGGCGAGCTTGTAGACCATTCATCAGCCACTGGGACCCGATCCAATGGCCAGCCCATGAATTCTAACTTCTGTCAATTCACGACATAGCGCGACCCCTAACCAATGTCTTCGGCTAGTATTTATCCTCAAACCTGACTTGCTGCACCCTACTGGTCACCCTGTTGCCCCTTATTCTCCTATACTTTGTATCATTGTACTGACATTTGCATATCATAAGTTGATTTGATCCTTATTATTTGTCCTTGTTCTCGTTCAAATCTCTCATTTTAATGCTTCTTTTTGTGGTTGTGCGATACATTGGTAATATTTTTGATTGGAAATTAGTCAGTAACTAGTGTAGTGTGTGTGTGTGCAGTCCTCCTGTCTTTGGTGCAGACTGAATTCCACCAGTCACGTTTGAAATGTGGCCACCTTGTCACTTGGTAGCTCACCATCACGGTGCACTGTGAATTTTTGGTATTAGATGCTGAGCAACCAAGCGTCATTCTATCTGCTGATGTTTCCTGGTCTTCTCATATCTTGGCGATTTCTAAGAAAATATTCCGTCATACCTTCTACATCAAGAAGTTAAGACATTCTGGAATAAACCCCCAATCCTTACTCCTACAATTCGTTAACTCTTGCATTCTGCCTATTATTCTCTATTGTTCCGCCTTAGTTTTTCCCGGGTTAATGAAGAACGACTATACCTTATTACGCAGGATGTTAAAGGTTGTCAGCAGAGTAAGCAACATGCCACTTAATCAGCTTGTTAATATTCTGGTCGACAGGCACATGGACTCATGTGAAAAATGGGCCAAATCTACTTTATCTAACTCACACCAACCTCTACACTCACAACTCTCCCCTTGCATCTCATCAGTCAGGAGACTAGAAGCCAATATAGAAAACTATATCCTCGCACTAGCAAGTACAAAAACTTAACCATACCCTACTTAGCTCGTGTTCTGTGTGATAAAGAAAGCATTAGGCGTGACACCTATAACTTATTAAATAGTCAGTAGAACAACTGGACCTCGTCTTTCCAACTAATATCATTTATAATTACAACGTTTTCTTCCTTTCTTTCTTTTCCTTTTCTCTCTCTCTCTTTTCCGTTATGTGCTGCTTTGTTTCTTTCTTCCGCTTACGCCAGTAAATATGATAGCATCTACTTTTCTAACACCTTCAAACACTCTGTTTAATTTTGGCTTTGCTACCGACATGCCAATATGTTGTTGTCATAATGAACTGAGATTTCCTTAATCTATGTAGAATTCTATTTATTGATAATGTACTAACTGGATGCAATACTGTAGTAGAAAAAAATGCTGAGAATTCCATTCTGTATCACAAGTACTGTTTTGGAATAAAGCAAATTATTATTATAGTGGCCACTTTGCAAACGTGACTGATAGAATTCAGTCTGCACCGAAGATAGGACTAGACGCATTACACTAGTTACTGACTAGTGTCCAATCAAAAATAACCAATACAGTCCTACAGGAGGTCAGTCGCTAGTCTGAATAGTTCAGTGGTAACGTCTCTAACTGTGCAGGTAGCACTGGGTGAACAAACATGTGATCCTTCGAGGTGATTGCAGATACGCCTTGTTGAGTGACTGGTAAGTGCCAGCTAGCATGAAACTTAGGTCTAGGGCTTCCTGCCTATTGCCTGCAATCATCTAATGCATTGTTAATTTATTGGTCTAGTGGTTAAGACTTCGTTTGAGTCACTCAAGGTCATTCTGACCTTGAACTGTCTTCGGGATTTGTTTGGTGTGTGATTGTTGTAGACAAAGTTTCGGATCATACCTTGTTGTGAGTACTGCATTTGATTCTAAGGCACTTCCTACAGTTGAATTTTGAGTAACTAAGTTTGTTCTATAGTACCTGTTATGTACTTAGAATGTTGTGTTCGCTATATATTTGCCTAACAGAACTGTTGAGGTGATCCTGAGTTTTTTATGTTACCGTTGCTAAATGGAACTACAGATTCTAGCAAGGAATAATCATTTTTCCAATGTCTTTGGAGACTTTTTTCAATGTACATAACTGAGTAAAGTCTTAATCAGTTATATATTAGGACGCAGATATCGGTTTCCTGAGGTTCAAAACACAACGAGTCAGTTTTGGTCCTCGCAATCTCATATGGACGAAATTTAGAATTCATATTCATGAATAGTCACCGAACTCGCCTTGTAACGTCAGATTTCTGGATTCTATACCTGGTCGGTAGGGTCATAGGTGCGTGCTGATGAACAGTCCCGAAGAAGGACGAAACAACTACTTAAACAGTACTTTTCTTAGATTTTCAATAGTTATCTAGGGCTTCATACAACTGGTTCCCTTGATAAATTTCGATAAAGAAAGGAAGACGAAATTTGCAGTATAAAATGATATCATTCTATTTCACAGGTTCTCATCAGCTGCAGACTACCTGAAATTACAATGGTTATATAAATGATGATAATAACATACTTTAATGTTTGAGTAGTGG